TAAGTTACTCTCAAGCCTTAATGAGATATTTCTCAAGACTTGGTTGACCTAGAAGAGGAAGCATTATTTTTTATTAGGGTAAATGAAGGCTGTGGTAGATGATCGAAATTCACTATTACACCCAACGAATAAAATGGAAACATGGCAGAACTTATTAGTAGAGGGAGTCATAATTTGCACCCAAGCTATGCCAATACATAACAACATTCACCATGCACGTTAAAGACTACTATCAAGGTAATTATAAACTGATGATAAATCGCATCAATTAATTACGCATTAGAAATGTTTGCTTGAATTTCTAGCCCCAATTTCAAGTTTTAGATACATTCTTCACGTCTCCCACCTGAAATTGATATTTTATTTATTGCAACATCATCAGCAGGGCAATCGTTTCATTCGCACATCAGTATGACTTCCTTGCTGGCCCAAAATCAAGCTGCTCTCCGATCGAAGCCCGTTACCCAGAAGACCAATAGCAGTATTTGGGCTAGTGGACTTCAGCCTAGAGACAGAGCCGGGCTTATCAAGTGTGATATTGTCTGTTGTGGAGACGGGAACCGGGACAGGAGCAAGAGCTGAGTTTTGACTGTTAGTATTATAGACCGCTTGTGTTAGATAGCCGTGATCGAAGAAGCCAGTCGAGTTCAGAGGCAGCCGGATCGAGTTGTGAAGATAAAAAGGGTTGAGCGAAGATTCATTCGAACCGATTAGTAACTCTCGTGAGTAAGCTTAAAAGTATTGTGGAACAGATAGGGTGAAGTAAAAAGTGCAAGCTATTAAACTGCGAACGATTTTACCAATAATGAATTTGATGAAAATGAGGATTATAATTTTGATTATCACAAAGGGGCTTTAGATAGATTTTTTTTAATGAGTAAAAAATTAGAATGCAACTCAATATTATTATTTATTTTTAGAGATTTCAATAAATCTGACGAATAACGGGATTTTCCAGAAGCTTTAAACTAATTAGTGAGGCACTCTACATGGGACCCTAGTATAGATAAGATCGCAAATACCCCATTATTGGTGTGATAACTTAATCACTGGCAATATTCTTTCGTAATATACCGAAGTATAGACCAATTAAGATGCAACTGCAATATGAAATAGAATTGCTGTTACAGTAACATATAATATTAATGCGAGGGCTCAATTTATTATTAGTTAAACATCCAAAGAAGAGAGGGTTGCCTAGACATGACCAACAGCGTCCCTAAAATAACAGTCAAATGTGTGATTGAGCATATATTCGCTGTAAAACAGTTATTATGATTTTACTGGGGCTATTTTTGCAAGGAATATATGACAGGACGAGATTAAATATATTTGGCTCTTTAGCGTATTCTGGCTCGAAAAATATTAATATATTTAGGCAACTTCTACTTTACACACTTGTCTATTACCAGAAGTTAATTCATTGGTAAAAAAACATGTATTTTACCCCATTTCTGCAGAGTCAAAATTAGATATTTATAATTAATTCAGGATTAACTACTAGCATGAATAGCTCATATCGAATACCAAGATAAATATTTATAATAATTGTTCAACTTGCCATCAACCTGTTGAGAAATTCTTTTATTTTATAAGTTCGCAATAAGAATGGCCATTAAAACGTTTTCATCTTTTCAAAATGGCTCATGAACCTCATAAAAAGACAGTTTGGTATTAAATAGAGCAGGCCATCACAAAGAATTTATGTAGATTTGTACCAGAAAAATCTTGTCAAAAATGACAAAGATGATAGATGAGATATGATAAGCCTAAAATATTTTACATTTAAGCATTTCGTTTGAAATTAAAGTGATAGATAATTACTCTCGTGTTTTAAAATGTAAAGAAGGGTTAAGTGTGAGCAAAAATGTTTCATATTGAAGAAGAGCGATCTCACTAAGGACGAATCATACTTTATGTCGATGACTCCGGCGAGCTTCGGAACAAGTACTAACAGGATGAGATAAGTAGCCTGGACTAAGACCACCCAGCCCCAGCGAAATCCAATTACAAATCAGGCAACATATCCAAT